TGAAGCCCATTTCTGGTGTCCCCCGCCGTGATGTTGCAAGAATATTGCTAAAAGCGGCATAAAACCAAACTCAGTCAGTCAGTGAGTCATACCTATTAACAATGACACGCATCTCATTGGTTTGGCATGTGTTTCTCTAAATATTCCATGCGTATAGCTGCAAATCGCATTTCATATTTACCAGAAGTGTATTGTATATTGTGTAGTGTTAAATTGTAAACTGTCCAAATTATTCCCAATGGCATGGGCACAGTTTATTCAATGTTTTTGGCCCGTGGCTCAGGGTACAATTGGTTGGTTTGTTGTTTAACGCCGCAATATTCCAGTTTTATATGGCAGCGGTCTGTAAATAATTGAGAATGGAACAGACAATCCAGTGATCAACATCATGAGCACCGTTATACTCAATTGGGATACAATTGACAACCAGGTCAGCGAGCCGGACCACCCGATGCCCGTTAGTCGCCTCTTACGACAAGCATTGGTCACTGAGGACCTATTCTAACCCGGATCTTCACGGTGTAGACTAGCATGGGTTACTGAAGACCAAATCTAACCCGGATCTTCACGGGGTAGACAAACGTGGGTCATTGAAGACCTATTCTAACCCGGATCTTCAATAGGAACACAAGCATGGGTTACTGAAGACCAATTCTAACCCGGATCTTCACGGGGTAGACAAACGTGGGTTGCTGAAAACCTATGCTAACCCGGATCTTCACGGTGTAGACTAGCATGGGTTGCTGAAGACCAACTCTAACCCGGATCTTCACGGGGTAGACAAACGTGGGTCACTAAAGACCTATTCTAACCCGGATCTTCACGGGGAACACAAGCATGGGTTACTGAAGACCAAATTCTAACCCGGATCTTCACGGGGTAGACGAACGTGGGTTGCTGAAGACCAATTCTAAACCGGATCTTCACGGGGTAGACAAACGTGGGTCACTGAAGACCTATTCTAACCCGGATCTTCTCGGGGTAGACAAACATGGGTTGCTGAAGACCTATTCTAACCCTGATCTTCACGGGGAACACAAGCATGGGTTACTGAAGACCAACTCTAACCTGAATCTTCACGGGGTAGACAAACGTGGGTCACTGAAGACCTATTCTAACCCGGATCTTCACGGGTGTCAGCTGTTTCAAGATTTATATGTTACAGTTTGGGACCAGCAGTTGAAAACGGAAGATATAACAGTGTGGAACATGTACAGCACCTATGTCTTTGGTCTTGCGAAAAATAACAGTCATGTTGAAGATAATAACAAAATAATAATAATGATTCATTTATATAGCGCCTAGTATCCATCTGTCAACGTTCAACATGTTGCGGCAATCATCATTGTTATCAATGGCCAACATGTTGCCACAATCATCATTGTTATCAACGGCCAACATGATCATTATTACCCTGGATAACCCAAGCTGCCAGTCAGGCGCTAGAAGGCTAATAGTCACATAACTTATCCCACCGGGTACCCATTTTCTGCTAGGTGAACATAGGCAATCTTGAACAAACTGTACTTGCCTAGGGTGAGATCACAGTATCACGTGTGCTCCGTTGTGGGGTAGCAGGGGCGGATACAGGATTTTCGTTTGTGTGTGTGTGTGTGTGTGTGTGTGTGTGTGTGTGTGTGTGCGTGTGTGTGTGTGTGTGTGTGTGTGTGTGTGTGTGTGTGTGTTGCACCCCAATCCTCGGAACCCTGGGCATAAAACATGTAGTACATGCAAACACCCAGGCACGCCGTGATATAACTGGAATACTATTAAACGGCTATAGCCAACTCATTCACACATTCATTGAAATCATATCATCTGAAATAGAAACGATAAAACCCTTTCCACGTTCATAGGAAATCTCTGCCAAAATCAGAGTCGATTGTACAATTGTGAACAATTTCCTCCACATGTCTACCATAAAACTTCTTGAAAACTTTACTGAGGCCTTGAATGTTGTAACCTTGATCAAGAGCTGTATGAGGCTCATTGAAATCCTGATAAAAGGAGCACGCTCGATTGTACCTCAAAAGTTGTGAAACACCAAGGTTGGAGCTGTTACAGTATCGCTCGACATGAAAGGGAAGTTGACTATTGGAAAGGTGAAATCATTCCTTTTGTCATACAGCCTTGTAGAGAGAGAGTTTCAGATTCACTCTGAATCTCTATGCATAGATCTAAACATAAATATATCTAAAACGATTTTATACCAGGGTGTATCAATAAACAGAGGACAAAGCTAAAGTGTTCTACGAGTTGACCATTGTACTGAAACGAATCTGTCAGGATATATAATGCCCTTGAGGGTGCGGAATACTCGTTTGGGCCGATATTCACAAATTGCTACAGCCCTCTCAGATATTATACCATTGATGGGACATTCACGAAGCGAAACTGGTATTGTATACCTTTTGAGATCGCTCACAGCCACCGTCACTCTCGTTACCCTGACTACTTTGTATCAGTGTACAACACAAACAGCCGTGGATGTGAATAGGAGGTCGTAGCGTCTCCAGTGTAGTCGCCACAGAGTGGTAATACCAGTTCAACTGACAGCTCCTTTCCAGAGCGTGACGAATTAGCCTTCCGCTTTCATCGCGGCCGTTACGTGACATTGATATTTTGTCTTTGGAGTCCAATTACGGCAAGTTTTGAAAAGGTTTACGGCTGACTTACAATTTCCCAGATTAATTTACCTTTTATACTTTATTATCGTCATGTATCCGTGATTACAGACAAACTCAAAAAACACATTTGATCTTAATTGCATAATTCTTTATGTAAAAACAGTTCCATTTTCACAATGGTTGGGTGAACTTTATAGGACTAACAAAGGAATAGCTAATTACGGCTAATTTGTACAATAACGAAATTGGTAAAGCTCTTCAGTTCATAACATACTACACTCTTAAATAAAAGAAACGCATAAGCCATTGTTAGAAGAATTTATTGCGTTAGTTTAAGAGCAAATATTTCATCTCATTTCAGTGGTAAAAAGGTGAAAATGTACGTCTATAGATTAAAGAGTTCGCCAACACAACAGCAGTCTTTATTGTTGTGTTTCTGTTTGTTTGAGTCCACAAGATAGCGTGATGTTTTTATTCAGTATGTGCACCAACTGCAACCTGGCTTATAGGTCTGGCTGTACCATCAAAATTTTGGTTGCACCTTAAAAAATGTCACTGGTTCTAAAAAGTAGTATTAATACTTGTTTTTAGCAATTTTCATAACAAGTACTGAGTATCAGATTACCTATATTTATAAATCTCAGTTATGTGATTACTGCTACTTAACTGATTCATGGGTGAGTGAGTGAGTGAGTTTATTTTTACGCCGCTATTAGCAATATTCTAGCAATATCACGGCGGGGGAAACAAGAAATGGGTTTAACACATTGTACTCATCTGGGGAATCGAACCCGGGTCTTCTGCGTGACTAGCGAACGCTTTAACCACGAGGCTACCCCACCGCCCCTAGCTGATTCATCAGTACACAAATGTTTATGTTTATGGTTAAGTCACGCGGAGAACGCGTATTGCTTCCAGACACTTATTTCCCAGTTAAAACACACGATGACTATTAGATGTTGTTGGATTTATTGTTACTTGCAGTGCAACCTGCTACTGAAGGTAACCTGCACCAGACCTTCAACACGCACCACTGCAGGCTGTAAATTACGAAATCACATCCTGGTCATGTGACTGTTGAAAATCGTGTTGAACAGCTTCCCAAGGGAGGAGGACAAGCGACATCAAACATTTGGGCTACGTCAGTTTCTCAATGAACGTCGTCAGTCTGGCTGCCTTACAAGTTGAGGGCGAGCAAGGTAGGGCACGCTAGTTACTCATTCTATTTTGTTTATATTATTTTTCAGGAGCTAAAAGTTTTTTTGTATTCACGTTTCAGGCTAAGATATGGTCTTGAGGATAATTGTCGCAACATGTTGAACGTTGATAACATTGATGATTGTCGCAACAAGTTGGCCGTTGATAACAATGATTGTCGCAACATGTTGAACGTTGGCAACAATGAAAATTGTCACAACATGTTGAACGTTGGCAACAATGATGATTGTCGCAACATGTTGAACGTTGATAAAAATGATGATTGTCGCAACATGTTGAACGTTGATAACAATGATGATTGTCGCAACATGTTGAACTTTGATAACAACGATGATAGTCGCGACATGTTGAACGTTGATAACAATGATGATTGTTGCAGCATGTTGGCCGTTGATAACAATGATGATTGTTGTGACATGTTGAACGTTGGCAACAATGATGATTGTCGCAACATGTTGAACGTTGATAACAATGATGATTGTCGCAACATGTTGAACGTTGATAACAATGATGATTGTCGCAACATGTTGAACGTTGATAACAATGATGATAGTCGCAACATGTTGAACGTTGATAACAATGATGATTGTCGCAACATGTTGGCCGTTGATAACAATGATGATTTGTCATGTTGAACTTTGATAACAATGTTGAACGTTGATAACAATGATGATTGTCGCAACATGTTGGCCGTTGATAACAATGATGATTGTCGCAACATGTTGAACGTTGATAACAATGATGATTGTCGCAACATGTTGAACGTTGATAACAATGATGATTGTCGCAACATGTTGAACGTTGATAACAATGATGATTAGTCGCAACATGTTGAACGTTGATAACAATGATGATTGTCGCAACATGTTGGCCGTTGATAACAATGATGATTGTCGCAACATGTTGAACATGTTGAACGTTGAACAATGATGATTAACAATGTTGAACGATGTTGTCGTTGATAACATGTTGAACGTTGATAACAATGATGATTGTCGCAACATGTTGAACGAACAATGATGATAACAATGATGATTGAACTTTGATAACAATGTTGCAACGTTGGCAACAATGATGATTGTCGCAACATGTTGAACGCGTTGATAACAATGATGATTGTCATAACATGTTGGCCGTTGATAACAACAATGCAACATGTTGAACGTTGATAACAATGATGATTGTCGCAACATGTTGAACGTTGATAACAATGATGATTGTCGCAACATGTTGAACGTTGATAACAATGATGATTGTCGCAACATGTTGGCCGTTGATAACAATGGTGATTGTCGCACCATGTTGAACTTTGATAACAATGGTGATAGTCGCAACATGTTGAACGTTGATAACAATGATGATTTTCGCAACATGTTGGCCGTTGATAACAATGATGATTGTCGCAACATGTTGAACGTTGGCAACAATGATGATTGTCACAACATGTTGAACGTTGATAACAATGATGATTGTCGAAACATGTTGGCCGTTGATAACAATGATGATTGTCGCACCATGTTGAACTTTGATAACAATGGTGATAGTCGCAACATGTTGAACGTTGATAACAATGATGATTTTCGCAACATGTTGAACTTTGATAACAATGATGATTGTCGCAACATGTTGAACGTTGGCAACAATGATGATTGTCACAACATGTTGAACGTTGATAACAATGATGATTGTCGCAACATGTTGGCCGTTGATAACAATGATGATTGTCGCAACATGTTGAACGTTGGCAACAATGATGATTGTCACAACATGTTGAACGTTGATAACAATGATGATTGTCGAAACATGTTGGCCGTTGATAACAATGGTGATTGTCGCAACATGTTGAACGTTGATAACAATGATGATTGTCGCAACATGTTGAACGTTGATAACAATGATGATTGTCGCAACATGTTGGCCGTTGATAGCAATGATGATTGTCGCAACATGTTGAACGTTGGCAACAATGATGATTGTCGCACCATGTTGAACGTTGATAACAATGATGATTGTCGAAACATGTTGAACTTTGATAAAAATGATGATTGTCGCAACATGTTGAACGTTGGCAACAATGATGATTGTCGCAACATGTTGGCCGTTGATAACAATGATGATTTTCGCAACATGTTGAACTTTGATAAGAATGATGATTGTTGCAACATGTTGGCCGTTGATAACGTCATATCATACAAGAAAAGCCTTTAAAAAGGCAACGTTATTGGGGGCCACTGGCCCATCATACAGATACAAGATACAGCGTATAACATAATGAAGCGCCTGAAATATGTATTATACATGTGGTAACTTGCTGGTAGAACAGCCAGGTGTGCGAGTTGCACGTGTGAAATTCACGAAAAGTTTAGATTTTTGATTGAAGATAAAGCATATCTAACATAATTAGAATTTGAAAAAGCCTTTGATTCTGTAGAACATGGATTTATTGAAACAGCTTTTAAAGTTTGGTTTTTCAGATCGAATGGTAAAAATGATAAAGATCTGTCTCAATGAAACATTCTTGTGTCATTAATAATAATCGATCCACAAGCTATCATAGTATTTCTAAAGGTGTAAAACAAGGGTGTCCGACGAGTCCGTTAATTTTCTTTTTATGCGCAGAGATGATAAACAGTACTACTTAACTTACGCAGTTTAAACACAACAGAGGGTCTCAAAAGCAATAATGAAATCATGAAATGAATTTAGTTGGCTCACGATTCTGCACCCATACTTAAAACTACAACATTGGTATGCAATGCTATACATTTTCATAAATACCAAACTCAATTTACTTGATTAAAAATCAATGTGAATAAATCGGTCGTTATGGCAATCAATGAAGATAGGAAAGAAAAAGATTCTATCGAGATTGAATGGCTTAGGAAGGTTTAAAAATTTTAATTTAAGAAAAGTTTTAAATAAGCATGACATAATAGAATGCCCAGACCCGTATCCAAGTTGAACGTGTTGTAGGTATACAACACAAGGTGCACAGTAGGTACACAACTGAAGACGCACAGAAGGCACACAACTCAAGGCGCACACAACTCAAGGTGCACAGTAGGTACACAACTCAAGGTGCACAGAAGGTACACAACTCAAGGCGCACAGTACGCACACAACTCAAGGCTGTGAATGGCTCTCAACAGATATTTCAATCAGCCTATAGAACGTTTCACAGCATGGAAACTACACTTCTGAAAGTCCAAAATGACATCCTTCGAGGTATTGACTCTGACGGAGCAGTAGTTCTTGTCCTTTTGGACCTCTCATCAGCTTTTGACACCACTGAGCATCAGGTACTACTCTCTACTCTATGCAAGAGGTGTGATGTCGGAGGAACCGCTCCATCGTGGTTCCGATCATACATCTCAGGCAGACAACAGTCCGTCGTTGTTGATGGAGCTAGTATTTGGTGTTCCCCAAGGGTCTGTCCTAGGTCCGCTGTTGTTCACCATATACACATCCCCACTCGGTGACTTAATGAGATCTTTTGGATTGGGTTACACTTATACGCAGACGCCACCCAGATATATCTAGCCTTCCCATATATCTAGCCTTCCCAGATATATCTAGCCTTCCCAGATATATCTAGCCTTCCCAGATATATCTAGCGTTCAGACCTTTAGAAAACTCATCAATCACATCAGCATTTGCTCGTTTGGAGTATTGTGTGGATAGCATCAGAAAATGGATGTCAGGCAATCTTCTCAAACAATCATTATCCAATAAACTCGCTTCTTACAAATATGTGATATTGTTGACGTTCAGAGCTTTCGAACGATACTCAACACAAAACGTGAGTGAGTGAGTTTAGTTTTACGCCGCACTCAGCAATATTCAAGCTATATGGCGGCGGTCTGTAAATAATCGAATCTGGACCAGACAATCCAGTGATCAACAGCATGAGCATCGATCTGCGCCATTGGGAACCGATGACATGTGTCAACCAAGTCAGCGAGCCTGACCACCCGATCCCCTTAGTCGCCTCTTACAACAAGCATGGGTTGCTGAAGATCAATATTCTAACCCGGGTCTTCACTGGTCTATAACTGTAAACCATTGTGACGTCATACGTCTAACAGTATTACATTAGTGTAATATTTCCGTAAAATATTGCACTGCAGTATCTTCCACGGGCGAGTAATAAACTATTTTATCATCTAATGAGTGTTATCGGTGCAATAAAGCAATCTGATAAACTTGGTATCCAAATCTGATAACTATGCAAATTACGTCAATCCACGAAAAAACTTTCTCAAAACTCCATACATGCCATGCGAATCCCAAAACGTTTTAACATTTCATTGATGACGTCGTCGCGAGTTTGCGTTGCGTGGACGATTTTGTAAACAAACATGGCTGCCCCCATTATCAAAATCGTGATTCTGTAAAAATTGAAGACAGAGGTTCTGGAGTTGTTACTGCAGTAATTGACTTTGGAAAACATGAAACGGAGAACTGCGTTCAAATTGAAGGTACGGATTATGAGGCACGAGTCTAAGAAAGGTACAACCAAGGGTTTCGATCGATCGATCACAACAAAGATGACGACGAATCGATTCCGTCAGGTATCAGAAACTGATATTAATGAGGTGATTACCCGCAATGAAAATAGAAACACTACCAAGAAAACCCTGCCCTATTTTGTTGTTCTTTTTAGACAGAAAGATCTTATTTTAAGCATGAGTTATGTTTGCGCTGTATTAGCGATTAGTCACAACCATATGCCGCCGTCAAGAACGACCTTCACCTTGGTGTACCGCTAAGTATTCTTACGCGAATGCTCGATTCTCTTCATATATAAATTCACGTACGATTTGCTTCTTTTTAAAGAGTTATTTTAAGAATGACATTGTATGATAAAGAGATTATTAACCTCGAGTCTTTCCGTATCATTAATATCATATATTAGGAGTAAAAATATGTATTGTGCTCGCCAAAGGCTGGCATAAAACAATTTTTATTCGTAATATATGATATTAATGATACGGAAACACTCTCGGTTAATAATTTCTATTTCTCCTTCTTCTTCTCTATATGATCATTCAGACTCTGAGGGCGGTGGGGTAGCCTAGTGGTTAAAGCGTTGGCTCGTCACGCCGAGGACCCGGGTTCGAATCCCCACATGGGTACATTGTGTGAAGCCCATTTCTGGTGTCCCCTGCCGTGATGTTGCTGGAATATTGCTAAAAGCGGCGTAAAACCAAACTCACTCATTCAGACTCGGAAGTCATTATCTGAACATACACTACACCATTTCAATACTTTACAGGAGTCTCATATTACCAGCAAGGACCTGTAAAATGCATTGACGAGAGTCCTGATGTCCGCGCTGTTCTCATACGCCTGGACTACAATATTACTTTGTACTAACCTACGTACAAATTCACAAACTGTAGACATCTACTGTAATAACTTAAGGCTGTTTACAATCGTTTATATATTATGTATGTTCCCACATTCACTTGTTGAGGCGGTGGCAGCTGGAAGACACATTGAAACTTAAAGATTTTCCGTCTAAGAATTGATTCAACTCACAATGACTGCAGCAATACTCGGATAGATGTGGAGCGTGTATATGATCTGACGGTGTTCGAAATACCGCAGCACCTCTAGTAAGCGCCCGGGCTCTTATATTTTCAACGGAATTCCAGACATGTCGCTTAGTAGAGACCCTGCGCTTCTGCGCTTACTCGGTGTAATTACCGTAATTGTTAGAGGCCGGCGCTAATAAGAGGCTCGGCGCTTATTTGAGGCTCGGCGCTTATTAGAGGCCCGGCGCTTATTAGAGGCCCGACGCTTATTAGAGGCTCGGCGCTTACACTGTAAAACTTTACCGTTAAATTTTACGGTAAAAGTTTGGCAGCCATGCTGCCGGTAAAAACTCAGTAGCTTTACGGGATACCGTAATAAATTCATACCGTAAAATATACGGTAAAACTCTGGCAGCCATGCTGCCGGTACAAAACCAGTAACTTTACGGGATACCGTAATAATTCATACCGTAAAATATACGGCAATAGTTTGGCAGCCGTGCTGCCGGTACAAAACCAGTAGCTTTACGGTGTACCGAATGTATTCATACCGTAAAATATACGGTGAAATTGTGGCAGCCGGTAGAATTCCTGTGCATGTATAGCCAAATAAAGTAATAACCATTTACTGAGGTTACCTGCACATAACAGCTGAAAGGCAACAGCATTGGAATGTTAGCTACAACATGGGAACTATATCTATAATTGTCTTGCTTTAAATGCTGCGAACATATGCTATTCAAAAAAAGATGAATCTTTGAACCAGATGATTCAGATTTTATTGTTTTCAGTGTGAAGCTGGTCTTTTCTTACATCATCAGAGTTAGTATAACGATGTTAACCTAAGTTGGCATAGTATATGCTGTATACAGCTATACCCCCTCGTACTTTGTTTAAGCTGGGGAAAAGAGGCGACAAAATGATGTGCATTAACAGCAAACCAAAAAAGAAACATTTCTCTATGTCCTGATGACAATATAGGTCTCTAACAATATAACTAATCCACGTGGACTGATATAAACAGTGATCTGTCTGAAAACATTACATGAAACAGAAAACACTAAACGCAAACAGAATACCATTTCCATATGCTAGACTCACCCTGAACACAAAAGCAAAATGAGAAACAGGTCAATGTCCTGTGCTCAGATTACGATAATACAATTTCCCTCTAATGGAGAATTATTCGTCAAAGGAGTATTAGAAAACCTTAAGGTTTGAAAATGTCCAACATAAAAGAACTCAATAACACGAACATTTTCCGTGAAGGAGAAAACTTAAAATATATATGCCAATTAATCTTCTGAAACATTTTACAAAATTACACAAAATCACACGGCCCAGACTCTAGCATTACTTTAATGGTGTAATAAAAAGACGGCCATCTTTCTTCAAATTGTTCCTTTCATTAAACGATCCTTCAAACTGCTCAGATATTTCTAATCTCAAATAAGATACCAATTCACAGTGAATTTTAACAGAATAGATGAACTTTAAAACAATAAAATCACAACATTCAGAAGTGAAATTCTTCCGTGAAAATATAAATAATCGTACCGTAGTACTGTTAGTCCTCCCGTTTAATGCAATTAATTTTGAACATTTAAGCATTTCTAAAAGCTAAATGTCAACTAAAACTGAATCTATTCAATTTGATCTGTTTCATAAATG